AATAGCTGAGGTATACACCTGCGAAATTTTGACATCTTACAAGCAACCCTTCCCGAGATCCTGGGCATGCAAGACAAATTGAGAACTCATTGCTATCCGCGGTCTTTCGGCAGCCAGTACAAGCTCAGTTTGGCCCCAATCATCATAACACCTGGTCTTGGATGTGCACTGGCATACATATTATAATATTATTATGTTTGTTAACCCACTCATAATCAGTGAGAGCTTCTACTTGAGTGGTCCTGACACCACTTCCTGAGCCCAATATCAGAAGAACCTCTGTATTTGCAAGTTCAAGGACATTTCTGGCTAGTGTTTTGCATTTTCTCGAGTACCTTAGCGGTCCCGAATTCTCCCATAACCATTTCCAGCAAGAAACACCACCAAAATGCAAGTTTGGACATGCACTCGGGGTGATTGATAGCATGATCTGCGGAATGTTGCGTGCATTGCTCAACATATAGACATCCGATTAGCGAGAAACAACTTTTGCTGCACATAAGGACTGTATTCTAACCCACAGAGCAAGTCTGAGAACATCTATGTAACTCCTGTGTGCCATAAATCCCCCATTACTGTGATATTGTTCGATTTTTAATAACATCGGCCACTGGCCTCCGATAACCATGAAACTTGAGAGACGTCTACGCGATCTATTTTCGAACAAATTGGCCGAGCGGTTTCTAGTAATATGACTTCGGGAGCTTAAAACACGGACATCTGTGTATAAAATGTACATTAATCAGTGACCGAGTGATCATACAGAATTTGCTTCGGCCAATCTGTCCGAATACATATCCCTAATGCCCATGCAAAATTTGAGACCAATCCGTGGAGAACTCACGAACTTATTCACTTTTCAGGTTGATCGCATTTCGACGACCGTCGGTTATTGATGTCACACGGTGTGACGCATGCCATCAAAGCCATCGCGCATGCCCCTCCCCACTAAAATTTAGTAAATGACACACGCATTCCATTGGCCAGCAAGGCGATTGAACTCATGCGCGATCCGGTTCAATCAGGGGGTGGGTCATAGCAGGTCAGGAATATCAGGATTTTTGATGCATGCGGAGACTATACCTCAAACTCAAGGAGACTGATTGGATTCAAAGCTACAAATAAGACTGTAGAGAGCCGATTTTCACTGAGATTTCCTCCATGCATTATATACGTCTATGCCACTTTTGAAGAGAACCACCGATGCCATTCGATGGCACACGCATTCCATTCCACACTTCTTCACGAATTTTATGCGCGATCCGGTTCAATCCGGGGGTGATAATGGGATGGAAGGGAAACATTTTTGGATGCAAGCGGATATATACCTCAACCGTCAACGAGACTGACAAACTAGATTCAAAAGCTACAAAGGAGACCGTAGACTATATGATGACTATATAAATGAGGTACGGCGGAAATATGTATGATACAGTGGGGAAACATAAAGGCAAGATAAGGCACGGTACGCAAGGGAACGTGTAGCGAGAGCTTGAGACAGATCCAGAAGGACTCTGGGATGAGAGTGTGGGAGGAGGAGGAGAAGGTCCGTAAAACCCCAACAAGGAATACATGTACAGAGAAAGAAGAAAGAGGAGGGAACGATGGACTCTGGCAGTCGTCGTCGTGTACGAGGGCATCAGTTGCACGCTTGTGCCGGGGATCCGGGGTAGAAGAAGAACAGGGTGCCGATGATGGAGTACAGGGCTGCAAGGCGAATTCGTCAATATACAGCCTGAACACAACGAGGGAGTAGACGTACCCAGGAGAATCATGCCTTCCAACTGCGGAAAAGAATCAATCAGAATCTCGTGAGAATGCAGGGAAAAAGGAAGGTGAACCCACCCAGTTACTCTTCCCATCTGCCACGACGTAGTTGACCGTCAACACCGTGAGGAGGAGACATATCGCCTGGAGCGGGTCGAAGAGGAAGGACATGGGTTTGTCGAGGCCCCCAGCCGACGACGACGATGAAGCTATCCAAGGAGTTATAATAATGAATACGCGGAAACGAAAGGCAGACGTATACGTACGGGATGACGAATAGCGCAATTTGCTGCAAAATTTAAAATTTGAGCATGCGCAGAGAATCACAGGAATGAACGCACGATGCTCGACCCGACTGCGATACTCATACTCAGCGTGAGCTTGTCCTTGACGGAGCTAGTCACGGCCGAAAACGTGCTCTGCGATGTTACCCGCGATGGGGAGGAGGATGATTCCGACGAAGGCTTGGATAGCTTGCCCGAGGCGGTGAGCCCGTTTATGGAGGAGACGAGGTATTCGGCGGTGAACGCGACGAGCTGTGTGCGTGTGTGGGGTTAGGATGATGCGAAGAGATGAAAGAGAAAAACGCACGACAGTGACTACGACGAGCAAGCAGAGACACACCGCACCATGTAACTCAGGCGTAGGGCGGTCCGAGTCCGAGTCCGAGACGCCGATCTCGGTATCGGTATCGTTGTGGTGATCCCTGGCCGCACCAACCTCCTCCGGCTCCTCCGTCAACATCGGCGGCAGGCCATTTGACGAGGTCGGAGGCGTCGGAGGCAACACTTGCATCTCTAGAATCGGAGACACGCGATCACGGACCCAGGGAGTCGAGAGCGGGATGTCGCCGCTGTCATCTGCGTACACCTCCTTGTGCGAGACGAGCTGGAAGAGAAGGTAGCCCATGTAGACTAAAAGTTTGAACGTAGGTTAGAACTTTTTGTGGTTTCTAGGCGAAGCATTCAGTACGTACCGACGAGGAGAATGAGTGCGATCTGATGGCGGGGTTACAAATTTAATCGGAGTTGAAAGAATCAAGTAAATCAACGTACCCCATGGCTAAACTGTAAAAGCTGCGTCTGTGTCTTGGTCTTATCCGCCCCGTTGAAGCCGGCGCTGAGCTGGTACATTATCGGGAGCATCACGGCGACGACGCTAAGCGTGAGGAGAGAGCTGTTAAGCTGTGCGGCGCCTGTGCATTGTTGAAATTCGTCAGCCAATGGAAAGAGGAGAAGATTTAAGAGTCTCCGAATGTGAGAAAAAAAGAAGGATAGCACAGGACGAGAATGACAGCTAGGGGGATATGTATAGCGGTGCAAGCCAATCATTGCGATATCCGCTGTATCGCGTATCGCGTATCGCGCACTGCAGGCTATGTCGTTGGGGCGTCTAGGTGATAGACTTCCGTACGTGACTCAACCAGGAGTACTCACGCAAGCGCTCGCTGCGGTTGACGAGAGAACGCGGGAAAAAGCAGGGAAGAACGGAAGAAGAGGCTTACCGATAGCGAATCCCTGCTCGGAGAACCTGAGCCCGCCGAGGAAGAAACACATGCCCAAAACGAGTACTGCGAGGTACGTTTAACGCGTCAATCCGACCGACAAAACAAGACAAGCGGCACGTACGGAGGTTTCCTAGGATAGACCCGATGACTAGTCGGAGTGGTTAGCCGCGCCGAATGGAGAAGGAGGAAAAGCTGTAAAGCGGAAGAGCGGACCGTACGTACGCGATGATTGCACGAGGTCGAGTTCGCAGTGGGTGAGTGCGATAACCTGTGTTTATTGGTTAGAGTTTAGATCGGGGAGCGAGAAGCCAGACGCCGGCGTACCGCAACTATTAGTTCTACACTGCATTAGGAGATGAAATGAATCAGCGAGGCATACGGAGAGAGGTAGATGAAGCGTACACGTTTCCCTGCGGTATGGTTAGCATTTAGCATGACCATAAGCCGGGGAAAGCATACCAATGTCGCGTTGATTAACCCCGCTAGAGCCTGACCCACGCGGAGGGAGACCTCTTCCGTGGCGAAGGAGAGTAACTGTGTAAGCATGAGTAGGGGCATCACAGAGCAGGCTGCAGGAAGACGACTGACGTGCGCAAGTGGAATGATCCCAATGAAGCATGCTGTAGTCGCGTTAGCACTCCGGTATGAAGGGAAGAATACAAGGTGAATGTGTACTTGAGAAGATTGCGGCATACTGGTGCGGGGTGGCAAAGTGGAGCGCGAACTGGGCGGGGGGAGTTAGTTGCTGTGCGCGATGGAGTAGTGGGCTCTGACTTACCGCGATGGGGATGCACAGAAGGAGAACGTTAAACCCTAGATAGAGCACAATTTCAGTGAGAATTGGTAGCTAACAGCGCCGTCCGAGACACACAGGAGTAGAAGACGACGGTACGGATGCTCTTCGCGATACTAGGAGCGGGGCCGAGTTGCTTCGTCGGCGTTAGCAGCTTCTTGACGTCGAGTCTCTTCAGCGCGTTCAGGCCGGTTCGCCATGCCTGTGGCCCCTTTTCTGGAGCAGCCGAGTCGAAGTGACTGTGCGTGGACGTGCCACTGGCAGTGGGTCTGCGGTGGGCACTGGCACCTTGTTCAGCTCGGTTGAGCGTCAACGTCGAGCGTTTCCGGAGTGGCTGGCGGGAGTCGTTCGTCGCGACCGAGGTCGTCGTGACGATGGAGGTGAGCGTTGTAAAGGTGTCGAGCTGGGCGGCGGGAGAGGGAGAGAAGGACATGGGTGTGTGTGCGTGGGATAGAAAACCAGTCGAACGCGGGCTTGATATAGGGAGCACAGGCGCTTAATGCTGTAATGTCCGATTATACGCTTGGACAGGTCTGTGGGCGTTGAACAAAAGCGTTAGGGTCACACGCCTTGTCCTCCTTGTCCTCGTCGCTATGGATGGCCAGTGCCACAGTGGTCCGTGTCAATTGAGACGCTTTGTAGTCGCGGTCGTGGCCCAGTTGAGGAATTCGACCCGCGCAGCATGTACAGCCATTCCGAGACTTCGGCGCCGAATGGGCGGGATCAGTCTGGTCGTCGGTTTTCGCCGATGGGGACGGGAACTGGATGGACGGTGGCCGTCGAATGGTGCCAGTGCATTCGCAGGCATGGCGGCCGACTCGAACGAATCATGGTTTGGGGCTGTCGAAGCAAGGAATCAAGTGGTGGCGGTGATAATGTGGCGATGATGGAGCCACATTGGCTACAGCATTCATTGTGTTATTCTCTAGCTAATCTTGACTAGTATATCGGTTAGTACACGCGCTTGTCATATCCTCCAGATCATAACTTCGCGCGAAAGCTGGGTTCGATTCCCAGGTCGAGAGTCTTTTTTTTTTTTCGCTTTGGTTTCGTTCTCTTTTTTTTTTTACCTGCTTTATTACCTCTCAGGCTTATCAACTGCCTTTCAGCTTCCCTATGTCTAGCGACTCTGCAATGTGCATCGATGAGTGACAAGTCTATCAGTCTATCACAGCTGTCAACGTCAAAAGTCGTTGTTCTCTTGGCGCCCGTGTTCCGCGTTCCGTTTTGCGCCTAACCTCCACTTACCGCGTTCTTTCCTGTTCTTTCTTTCAGCCACAGAGTCCAGATTATACTCAAGCTTATCCTGCAGCAAGCCCCACCGCTGCTGACCCAGTCCTTTACTTCGCGGCCTCGACTGTCGCGATGCTTGTGTCGATACACAACGGACCTAGCCGAGACCATATCATGGCATTTTGCGGCATGATTTGCCCGTTGATTTGCCCGTACCCTGCCCGTACCCCCTCTTCTTCTTCTCGCCCTCAATCGGCTCGGCTTGCCTTTCACTTCCCGCACCGATGCTGTGGGCCAACGTCCTCCTGGTCCTGGCAACAGTCGTCTCTGTCTCAGCGCTCCCCAAGGTCTCGCGGACGGGCAAGTATCTGTACACGGAGGATGGGACGAGGTTTTTCATCAAGGGGATTGCGTACCAGACGCAAGGTGCGTACAACGGTCTCGTCTTCGCTTGCTTTCATGCGTATTCTCCCCAGGCATTGTCATCCCCGGACCTGACAACCCGCTCAACCAACCGTCGACCTGTGCGTATCTCGGGAACCGCTCAAGCTCAAGCCTAACCCACTGCAGTCGTGGACAACCTCGCGGACGCGGACGCCTGTACACGAGACCTGCCCTACCTCAAAAAGCTCGGTATCAACGCCATCCGCGCGTACTCGGCCAACGAGTCGCGAAATCACGATCCGTGCATGGAGGCTTTCAGCCAGGCGGGGATCTATGTTATGTGCGTCCTACCCCAGTCCCTACCCCGAGTATGGCTATTGACCCGGGGCCACAGTCTGGACTTGACCCTACGTGAGAAGCAACCCCTTTCGATACCCATCTCGGGCTGTCCCGGCTTGTCCGCTAATCGAGGAAAACAGCGCTCAACGGATCTATCGACACGACCCTCCCGTCCTGGAGCACCAACATCCTGGACCAATTCCTCCGCACCATCGACGCATTCGAGAAATACGACAACGTCCTCGCTTATAACATCGGGAACGAGGTCATGACGCCCGGCGGAGGGTCGCAAGCAGCGCCGTTTATACTGTCGGCAGCGCGGGATGTCAAGGCTTATCTGTGCGTTACACATTCTTCTCTGCATATCATAGTTCCGTTCCCGCGTATTCAGATCGCACAACAGGAATTCTATTCAATCTTCCGCGCTTGTCGGGTACGCGGCCATCGATGGGCCATCGTCCTTTGTGGACAATATCGCTGGCTTCCTCGCGTGCGACCATGCTAATGCGAACGGTGCGGCAATTGACTTGTTCGGGCTGAACAACTAGTTGCGTGTTCTGGCTCTGGCTCTTATTCGAGTATCAACTAACGTGGACTGCTTCAGCGAATGGTGTGGCAATGATACCACGACGCGCTTCGACGCGCTCAATCAGCGGTTTGCGGATTATCCCGTAGCAGCGTACTTGTGAGTTCTCCTCCCCCCGCCGCATTTTCGTTGCAGATGGCTGAGACGATTCAGCTCAGAGTTCGGGAGCGAGAATTGTAATCCCAATCCTCGCATATGGACAGAGGTGCCGGTCATGTTCAGGTGCGTGTCTTTTGCGACTCGCCGATAGCCAAAATAACCATCCCGGGCCGCAGCACACCCATGTCCAACGTGTGGTCCGGTGGCCTCGCATTCAGCTACTTCTCCGCCATCAGCAAGGGCCACGAGTTCGGGATGGCGGCACTCTCGGCGGACAACACCTCCATCACGACCAACGGGGACTTCGATAACCTCGCAACGCAGTACAACGCTGTAGCAGCCACGCTCCCCACCACCCCATCGCAATCCTCCGCCGAATCCAACGCAGATTCACTACCGGCTTGCCCCTCGGGACTCAACGCCAGCTCCTCCGGCCTACTTCCACCGACGCCGGACGACGCTGCCTGTGGATGTCTCGACGACGCGCTGATGTGTCGATTTACGCCGCAAAACGCCGACTATACGGTGCTGGTCGGGGAGTTGATGGGTGTGGCCTGCGGATTGCTGATTGGGTTGGGCGATGCAGATGGGTGTGACGATGTTTTCTGCGAATGGAATCTCTGGGACGTATGGCAAGGTGGCGATGTGTGATCCCAGTGAGTCTACTTGCCTTTCACTTTTCGAATTAGATGCTATCTCACAAACACCACCACAGCCATCCGCCTATCCTACGTAATGTCCCAATACTACGAGCTCGCCCACGGAGCTCCGGGCGCCTGCGACTTTACCGGCAACGCGACGATAAACCCCCAAGGAAAAGCGGGGACAACCTCCCTTGCGACAAAGTGTATACCCAGCCCGGCGGTCTTCACGCCGAGTCCGCCGCCGGTGCTGTTACCTGTCCAGCCAACGAGCTCGGGATCCACACCCACCGGTGGCGGCAGTGGTGGTGGTGGAAAGAATGTCAGCGGTGCTGTTGGAAGGAGTGGCGGAGCATTGTGGGTTGCTCTTAGTGTCGGGATGGTCGGAGCGTTGCTGGGTGCGGTGATGGTATGGACTGTTTAGGCTTGTTTTATTTGGGTTTTTGTTGTGTATGTGCATACCCTGGTTTACAGTCATTTAGTCTTCGTTGTAGTCTATGCTTTTTAATTCGTTCCTCGCATCGTCAGAAATTGCTAAAGAGGAGTTGAGTACCATAACAATTTCTGGGACCCAATCAATACTCACCTGTACCACAAGTCCGGTTCAGAGGCTTCAAGGCGAAAGTGGAGTCTGCGCTCGGCGGCAATATTATCAAGTTCGGAACGCAGATCGGAATGGCCATGCATATGAAGGTCTACTTCCGATTCCAAGCGTAACCACTGGAGTTTCAGGAAGAATGGTTCCTCTTGCACCAAGGAACATCGCGAGCGCATGAATTCAAGGAAGAGGGTGTGGTCGAACTTCATCTGAGATGCATAAAAAAACTTTCGGAGCCTTGGAACCAAGGTATGGGAGGCGTCGGCGGCATCAGTTCGTGCGAGTGCGGCCAGCACAGGCTCGCTGAGCGTGGGGGGTTGACAGTGAGCTCGGATATATGCATCGGTCGAGGGGAAAGAGTCCGCGAAAAGGAAAGCTTCGAGATTGTGCAGTGTGGAGAGAAGTTCCATCAGCACAAGGCTGCTGAGGGCAACGTGACGCATATCCAGTGTCTGGAGATGAGCAGAGAATTTGGAACGCAGTGCCATGCCAAGAAAAGCGGACTGCGACCAAGCGATCGTGGTGTTGGGGTATTCGTAAGAGCTGAAATCCAGAAGACGGAGATTGGGAAGCGATAGAATGGCGAATACGGCTCCAAGGATCTCCTCGCAATGGGCAGCAGGAAATTCGGTCTGTGTGCCAATGGAAAGGCTACTGATACCGGAGGAGACTGGAGGAAGGCCTTGGATGTTATAGTTGGTTCGAAAAAGGTTCAGCTCAACCGCTCCAGAGAGACGGGGAAATTGGCTGAGGATATTCGAGAGGTCCTCAGGCGCGGAGTGCGCCATCGCCGACGACGATAGTTGTTCCAGAGGCATCGGGGAAACATCAAAATCGCCCATCCATCTGAACCCATGCAGTTTAGGAGCGTCGCAGAAATTTTTCACGATTTCCGGACGCCGTTGTTCGCCAACGAAGATCCCAATTTCGAGGAAGGCGAGGTTGGGGAGTCGGTGCAGCACGTTACATCGCAGGATATCCCCACGCGGGCAGACGAATCGAGCCCATCTCCAACGATGGGAAACGCCGCACAAGAGGTCGAGAACTGTGCCGTCGACGAGTCTCCCACTCGGCGGCGGGTAGAGATTGATCACATTGATTGCCAGTGGCGAGTCGTGCGCCCGTTCAAGTGCACTTTTCAACAGACCCACTACTTTCGCAGAATCCTCTTCCGTGTCCCATAATGTGCCGTGGATGGTGATATCGGTCCAGAGGTCCGCCGTATGCAGGGCAATCGTGTGCCACCGAGAACAGATTTGAGAGAGAGTAAGAAGGGGTGCAAAGGCGATGAGCAATATGGCCCGGGAGAATGCAGTAAAGCGTGGATCGAAGAGCTCTGGGGAATCGTAGTTCTGCTCAAACTCGAGCCAGTACTGCCGGAAAACTTGTGCGACGATTTCGGTTGGGAGGCGTAGGATGGGAGGAAGGAGGTTTGGAGCCGCGCTATTTGGTTGTTGTAGTAGCAACTCTACGCGACTAGAGGTCATTCCCCAGCGCGTCGTTTTCGCATCGCCGAGGTCGTTAGCGGCAGCGGGCCGCTGTGTGATTAAGCGGTCATTGGTCTCTTGGGTCTGTTCGATGAGAGGAGGAGTGGGTGAAGGGGCCTGAGGCTGACTCCTGGATGGGGACATGGACGCAGAGGGCAAAATGGCCTTGTGACCTCATGTCCATATATAGACTTCATCATTGAAGCGCTCTCCCTCCGTTTACATTATCTGCGTGAACTGTATGCCAAATAGACTGAAACGCAGAAGAGGTCACGACGACGACGACAGCAAACCCACGAAGTATTCATTGGGATAAGTACGATAGGATGGAAAGTACAGTCGATACAGGTACAAAGGGATACAGGCGGAGAGAAGTGGCGAAGCCGAAGGGAGGTGGTGCGGGCGGTCCGTGCGCATCGCTGGGAGTCAGCGTCAGCTAGAGTCAGACTGGGAGCAAGAGACACACCACCCAGATCACCCCACATCGAGCCCGGCGAGCTCAAATACCAAAGCCGTAGAGTGTGCGTCCCGAGCGTTTGAGGGCGTAGACGACGTCGAGTGCGGTGACGGTTTTGCTGTGGGCAGACAATGCTTGAGTGCTTGCGAGACAAGGAAAAGAGGCCACTCACCGCTTGGCATGCTCAGTGTAGGTGACCGA